GATCTGTTTTTGACAAACCCATGTTGGCTTTTGGTTGTTACTTTGTTTGCTTCTAGTTGTTTGCTGATCCGTTGCTTGATTATCTTTTTCAGAATCTTCCCTGATATACAGGTCAGGCTGTTAGGTCTGTAGTTTCCTGGATCTATTTCCCCCCCTTTTTTGAATATGGGAACTACATCAGCTCTTTTCCAGACCTCTGGCAGTTCCCCGGTGCTCCAGGATCTTTGAAAGGTATATTTCAGTGGTTCTGAGATCACATCTACCAGTTCCTTCAGAACCTTGGGGTGTAATCCATCTGGTCCTGTTGATTTGAATTCATCTATGGTAGACAGGTGCTCACTTATCATTTTCTTCCCTATTTTAACTTGGCTTCCTAATCTGTTTTTTGTGGTGCTGCTTTTGATAGGTTGGACTGTTTTTTCCCCTTGTGTAAAGACAGATGCAAAAAATGAGTTAAGTAGTTCTTTCTCCTTGTTGCTTGTCGCCTTCCTGCCACTTTCTCCCAGCAATGGACCAATTGTTTCCTTGACTTTTTTCTTGTTTTTAACGTGTTGGAAGAATATTTTTTATTTTTTACTTTTGTCGCAAGCCTTTGTTTGCTGTGAGCCTTAGCTTTTCTCACTTCCTTTTTGTAGGTTTGGGCTATTTGCTAATATTCTGCCTCAGTTATGTGCCCCTCTTTCCACTTTGTCAGCCTCTGCTGCGCTTGCTTGCTATCGGCTGCCATAGAAACAGTGAGGGTGGGGGCATGATATTTGGGAAGGGAATTGTGTGGTACTGGAAGAGTTAGAAGGGAGTTTTGTCCTCACTATCTTCTGCGCATGCTGATGGCTGATGTTTGGTCTTGGTCAAGGCCAACCGTCTCACACACCAACCTGATGAAGCCTTTTGAAGGTGCACCTCACATGACACCCTAGGGAATTGCAGATTGGACACTGGGTTGGGCTAATTGGAGGGAGGGGCTGGGTAATCATTTGATATGTATTGTTCGCGCCTTTTTGGCTCAGATCTTGCTTTCCTTTTCGCTGCTTTCAATTCATGTCTAGTAAAAGTACTTTATCTCTATTCAAATGGAGTTGAGGTTTTTCTTTCTTGGATACTGAAGGAAGCCTGACACACTCTTTATACGTCTTTTTTGTCTTTCAATTTGTCAGAGAGTTCTTTATGTAGCCATGCTGGTTTCTTTTGAGAGCTGTTATTTTCCTTCTTCACTGGTATTGTGCTAGACTGTGCTTTTATAATCTCACTTTTCAAACTTTCCCAAGCTTCTTGAGTTGTTTTCCCCTTGAGGATTCTCATCCATGGAATCCTTCCCAGGCTCTCTCTACGTTTATTGAAATTAGCTCTCTTAAAGTTCAAGACTCTAGTTTGACTTTGTTTTATTGCTTGTGCTTGCATAATGTTGAATTCCAATATTGCATGATCACTCGCCCCCAAGGTTCCTGTAGCTTCAACACATTTTACCCTTTCTGAAGATTGAAAGCACACCAGCTCTTTTCCAGTCCTCTGTGCTCCAGGAGCTCTGAAATATTTCATTCATTGTTTCTGAGATCACATCTGCCAGGTTCTTCAGTACACTTGGATGTAAACCATTTGGTCCCAGAGATTTCAACTCCTGCAAAGCAGATGCTATTCTCTTATCAATTCCTTACCTATTTTGATCTACATTCCTATTGTGTCTCCCAAAGTGCTACTTTTGACAGGTTGGGCTCTTTTTTCCTTTTGTGTTAAGACAGAAGCAAAGATGGGATTAAACAGTTCTGTTTTCCCCCTGCTGTGTGTCATCTTCTTGCTATCTTGTCCCATTAGTGGACCAATTGTTTCCTTGTTGTTCTTCTTTTCCTTACATATTGAAAGAAACTTGTTTTGTTATTTTTGGCATTTGTTGCAAGTTCACTATGAGTCTTAGCCTTCCTGACTCTGTCTTTGTAAATTTGGACCAGGAGTGTCAAACTCAAGGCTTGCAGGATGGACCCAGCCTGCAGGGTGCATATATCTGGCCCGTGGGGCTGGCCTGGAAATACCACGGTGCCTCTTCCAGCCAAAACAGGTGGTGGTGGGCGCTTGTGGCCCCCCTTACCATTTTTGGTCTCCCCAGCCTCCAGAAGCACTCTGCTGGCTGAAACCAGGCCATACGGAGGCCCCAAGAGGCCTCCACATGGCCCATTTTTGGCCTCCCTGGGCTCCAGTAGCACTCTGCCGGCCAAAATGGGCCACACAGGTCTTCAGAGGCCTTCCTTGTCCCGTTACAGGCCAAAAAGGAGCCTCCATGAGTCGGATCCAGCCCTCTGAGGTCCCATTTGGCATGACTTTGCTGTACTTATTTTTTGAAGATCTCCAGAAGACGCCGACCCACATGGCAGAGAAGTCTTTCATTCAGAAGCCTGTGATGCTGTAAGAAGGTGAGATGTAAGGAAAACAGTTTTTCCCTTCTGAATAAAAGACCAGCTTCTCTGCCATGAGGGCCTGCAGGCTTAGTTTGGGCCCAGTCTGGCCGGTAACAAGCAACCTCCTGCTTGCAGCTGACCGGCTGGTTCGAATAAGCAGCTTCAGCGATTGGGGCATGGCAACCAATCAACAAGGGGCTTACAGTTCAGCCCAAGGAGACAAAGGAAGCAAGCTCCTCATTGATTGACTGCTGCTGCTGACACAATCCCTGAAGCAGGAGGCTTAGGCCTGCTGGCCACATGGGCCCAGCCGAAGTCTTTTACTCAAAAGCTGGTGAAAATGTTTTCCTAGGATTTCACATGTTTACAGCTTCACCATCATCTGAATAAAATACTTTGCTTTCTCTGCCAGTGGGTCAGCCTTTTCTGGTGCTCTGGAGATCTTTAAAAAGTAAGTAATCCATGGATTTGGGGATGGGATGGGTGAGGAAGCAATTGTGGGGACCCCAGGGGAGCATGAGGTATCTCAGTGGATTGGGGGAGGCTTTGGATAGCCTTCTCCAGCACTAGGCCCCACATGCTTTTCCCCACTCTGAGATACCTCATGTGAATT